CTGCACCTCTGATGCTGCTTGGCCTGCTGTGTTCATCCAGCTCTACACCTTGTTATCTCAGTTTCCCCAGAACATTAGCTGAGTTTCTGGATTAATAGTCCAGCAGTAATACCACTAGGCCATCACCTCTTTTTCGTTTAAAGCCTTAATTGCTTGGAATAGTTGGATCTTAGGTAAGATTTGTGCTATGAAAATGTAATATTAATTGACTGTACATGGTTCTCTAAATGAGTGAATGATAATTCAACTCAATTTTGAAAAATTACTGAACAGAAAGAAAATACTTATGCAAAGTTAATTTATATTGACTTTATTGCTTTTGTAGCTCCAAGTGTTCCACCTCCTCCTCCTCCTCATCCTCCATTTTCTGTCAAGAGTCCTCCTCCTGGAAGTGCAGCCTTTATCTCGGACAGCCCTTCAACTAAGAAACGACCACCTCTACCGCCACTGACAACCAAGCATAAACGGACATTATCTGAACCCACACCCAGAGTACCTCATAGTCCACTAAATCGCAAGCAATCCTCATTTGGTATGTTTTAACAAGTAGCAGAATATTCTTAGTTTTGCCTATACCGGTAATTTAAAGAATCATTTGAGAAGGAATAAATAATTAAAAATACTTTTGAAAACTTAGAGAAGTATAAGAAGCACAGGAGTGGAGTGGACAGACGCTAGGAAGCAAAGAGAGGATACGACAAAATAGTGGCCAATAAAATTAAGGAAAATCAAAAAATGTTTTATCAGGACATTAAGAGCAAGAAGATGACAATGGAAAGATTAGATCAATCAGAAGTGTACTTGGTAATGTGTGCTTGAATGCAGAACATGTGAGCGTGGTTCTGAATGAGTATTTTGACTCTGTGTTCACAAAGGACAGCGATGATGCAGACATTGTGGTTAAACAGGATGTGAAAAAGTAAGTAAAATGAAAATAATGAGAAGGGAAATATTGGAAAAACTGACCTTGTTGAAGGCAAATAAATCATAGGGCCCAATGAATTGTATCCTGGTCTGTTAAGGGTAGCCAGGGAAGACATAACAGATATTCTGAGGAGCATTTTCCAATCTCACGAGATAAATATGAGGTACCAGAGAATTAGAGGTCTGTGAGCATATTCAAAAAGGGTTAGGCCAAATACTTATAGGACTGACCTCAGTGGTGCACAAATTGCAAGAATCAATGCCAAGAGATAGATTTAAATGTTACTTGGAGAGGCACCAATTAATTAAGAATAGTCAGCATGATTTAAGTTAATTGAATTATTAGAGGAAGTAACAAGGAGGATTGATGAGGATAATGTAATGGATGTTGTCTACACAAATTTTAATAAGACATTTGACAATAACAGATTGTCATAAAAAGTAAAACAAATATAGAAAGTGCTGGAGAAACCCATCAGGTAGGTATGGCAGCATCTGTGGAAAGAGAAACGGGAAAAAAAATTAAAGCCCGTGGGATGCAGGTTAATGTGGTAAGTTGGATCCAAAATTGGCGCAGTGACAGGAAACAAAAGTAATGTTCACCGGATGTTTTTGCAAGTGTAAAGTGGTTTCCAGTGATGTTTGACAGAGCTCAGGATTGGATCCCTTGCTGTCTGTGGCTTGTAGTAATGGTTCAGACTTAAATGTGGGAGGTGTGATTTGAGAGTTTATAGATGATACAAAGATTGGCCAGGTAGATGATAACAGAGAGGATGGCTGTCAACTGCAGGTAGATACCAACAATTTAGTTCAGTGGGAGGGAAAGTGGCAAATAAAATTCAGTCTGGAGAAGTGCAAAGTTATGCATTTGGGAGGGCATTTGAAGCAAGGGAATACAGAATAAACAAGGGGTATTGAGAATTAGGGTAAGGACCTTGGATGTTCACCGGTCCCTGAAAGTAAAGAAGAAGGGTCCCGACCCGAAATGTCAACTTTCCTGCTCCTCTGATTCTGCCTGGCCTGCTGTGTTCCTCCAGCTCCACACTGGGTTGTCTCTGACTCCAGCATCTGCAGTTCTTGCTATCTCCAAGAAGACATGTAGAATGCTTCCGTTCATTGGGAGAGGTATTGATTGTAAGAATAGGAATGTAAGTCTTGAACTGTATGACATACAGTTGAGGAACTTCTGCAGTGCATCTTGTAGATAACTCACGCTGCTGCTGCTGAGTGTCAATCTTAGAGGGAGTGGATATCTGTGGACGTGATGCTAATCAAGCGGGCTGCTTTGTACTGGCTGGTGTTAAGCTTCTTGAGTGTTGTTGGAGCTGCACCCATCCATTCAAATGCACAATATTCCATCACTCCTGACTTGTGCCTTGTAGATAGTGGATAGGCTTGGTGGACTGAAGTGAGATTAGAATGGGTGGCTAGTTTATTTAGCCAGTACAGACGTGATGTCTAATTGACCTCTTTCTGTGCTATACCTTTTCTATGATTTAACACCTACCTGCTAAACTTCAGAAGTACTGTTTCATGTTTTCTATCTGGATCAACTTCAATTTTAGTCACACTTGTTGCTTCTGGTGATTCTCCATGTGAAGTCAGTTGAGATTGATCATTTTGATTACAATTTTTATGCCAGTATTGCTGAAAGCAGGCATATTTTATTGAGGCTTTTTGGCTTACACTCATCAGGACATTTTGCAACAATGCCAATTCACAGGACACTGACATTTATACTTCATGACAAGAATTTGTTGATTGTTTGGCAAGCTGACACAGGTACAGGAATTGCCACAGAGAATGCATAATGTTGATTGACAGTTATCTTCCAGGCATTGTTTAAATTTTAAACCATAGAGGTTGACTCTAATTGTCAAGTAAGTATCCTGAGAAATGAACCAACAAGTGGCTGTCGTCTATTTTATTGCTTTGAAACAAGTGAAATGCATGTAAATGTTCTTGTTGTTTGCAAAACCAAGGCCCCATGTATTAATATTCTAATTTCCATATTATCCATTTATAACTTTCATATTAATAGATGTAAATATCTATGAAAAATCTGACTTCAATGGAATGGCACCTAACCTCCTACCTATTGGACTTTCTTATATTTAGATAATGCATTTGCTAAATTTTTATCTGTAGGTGCATGCAAAATTTCCTTACTTGTTTCAACGTGTTCCATCCTGACTCAAGTTCATTTTTGAAATGAAACAGTCAAATGAGCTCCCTTTCCTCCATGTCTTAGTTGAGAAATCAGCCATGGAGGTCTCTACTACTACCTACCACAAGCTACTACCTACCTATTCTTTGGTCAGAATAGGATTCCTCCAGTTCCATGCACTATAAATTGGCCTTATCAGCAACCTTGTAAATAACATTCCCTCTAAGCTACTTGACCGTGTACACATGTAGCTGCTGCAAGGTTCCGCACGTGCCACATGACCGATGTATTGAATTCCAGTTTCAGAAGTTGATGCCTCAGTGTTCAGAGGTTCGCATGTTAAAAAGAAAATTAGAGGCTGTAGCTCATGCGTAATGCCCACTCCATTCAAACTTAATGCTAAAATAGGGTCCAACAGAGCCAATCTGTTGGTTAATGGCTACCTAATCAGATTGTTTCTTGCTGTACATCACACAAACTCATGAAATATCCTAAAGTAGTCACACTTGTTCCTGAAAGGTGGTCAGTCCAATTCAGATCACCCTGGAAGTGTAGGTTATCTCAAATGTTTAAGCAATAGGATAAGCAAGCTGCTTCTCACAGCTACAATGCAGCAGCAACAAGAGTGGTATTCATCACTAACTGGATGCTGCCATCAAGCTAAAAAGACATTCTGCCTGTCACACAAATGAGGAATGTGATATATGAATTTTATGAGTTTGATGCCAGGAATGTAGGCAATGCGGCCCAAAGACTTGCAGATCATTTCCATAGCACGTCCCTGCCACTGTTCACAACGAGCAAGTCAGTAACTGTAGGCAACCAGCCCATGCTTGCAAAACTGTCAACGTTACACATGATTCTGCATTTGACAAAAAGAATGCACATGTACCACACGTGCTCCAACTTAACAAAATAAATGCCAGCCATTCATTGGTTTATTTCTCACGACATTGCCCTGATCAATGAGAGTCAACCTGCCTTGATTAAAATTTAAGCAAAACCTGGCAGTTATCTGTCAATCCACATTAATGGGTGTACTCTCCACGACAAAGCCTCTATCAAACTGAGTCTACTTGTTAATGAATCAGTATTCTCCTCTTACGTAGTATAAATGTTGGTTTCCCCCTTGAATTGGTATTCCTGCAAAATATCTTGAGTACAAGAAGAAACGTTTTGACAAAATGTCTTATTTCAGCAGTGCTCAAGCTCTGTACTAATAATTAACAGTTTGTAGTCAGGTAAAATAGTGCAAAAGGTGTGCATGTGTCAACTTCAAGGATATGTAAAATTGAAATGCTTCGTTACCATTGCTACCCATATTAAAGGCCGGATTTTACCACAAGTCCCATCCCAGGTGAGCCTGTTTTAAGCAGGTTGAGCACATAAAATATATTGGGTGGCTAGCCTATCATCTTCCTGCCTATGACTTTCCCATAATTCAGGCGATATTTGAGGCATCCACTTGGCCGCCTGTTGTTAGGCCTGCTCAAGCCCTAAATAGCCAATTATTGCCTACTAAAGGCCCTCAATCCACCTCTACTGCCATAATACACTTGACAGTGAAAAGTGGGTGAAAGTGGAAAGGACAGTTTTTTAACACATTTAGTTAAATGTAGGAAGAAGGGGACTAGGATACATTCATCAATGGGTACCCTGTGTGCATCAGGGATACGCCCCAAAATGTCATCTTCCTCAACCCTGCCATTTTGGCTATCCACTTTGTTTTCTTTCATTCTTTCATTCTTTCATTCATTCATTCATTCATTCATTCATTCATTCATGAGATGTGGGCATCACTGGCAGTACCAGCATTTATTACTCATCCTTAATTGCCCAGAGGACAGTTAACAGTCAACCACATTGCTGTGGTTTATCTGGAGCTGCATGTAGGCCAGACTGGTTTAGGATGGCAGATTTCTTTTCCTGTAAGAATTACTGAACCTGATGGGTTTTTGTGACAATCAAGAATGGTGTCATGGTTGCCACTCGACTAGCTTGTACATTCCAGGATTTTTATTATTCAATTCAAATTTCATCTTCTGTCAATGATGGGATTAAATCTCAGACCCCAGAACATTTGCACGTTGCCACTGCCTTCCTGGCCTTCAAAGTGCACTGTCCCAACCACTTCAACCTGCACACCCCATTCCTAGTTTGCCCGATCCTTTACTGCCAAAAAAAATCCCAGATTTACCTGGGTCCAATGCCTATATTTGATCTTTGAGACTTTTGCAATCCAAGGCTCATCCTCCACTGTATTCTGGCGTTGCTGTGATTGCTAGAGCTGCTGGAAATAATCAGGGCAGCAGCTTTGGAGGGCAGGAATTCCTCTCACTGAGGGGCTGGAGTCCCAAACTTTACGCAAGGCTGCCTTAACAGAACAAGCCTTATTAAAGTCAATAAGATTACAGCCAAACTGTCTCCCGGGAACTAAACAAAACTCTCCTCTCCCAGCAAAGTCCAACTGAAAAGCATAAAGGCCAAGTATCTTCATATTTACGGGCAGGCTATAGCATTCTGATGCCTTTTAAGATATAATCTGCTATTGAGACATTTTAAAGCACCAGTGGCTTGCTTTACAACAGTGAATGACACAATTCTCTCTGTTTCTTAGCTGCAAATGGGTGCTCAGTCCTCCATGAAGGACTGGGAGGAAGTATCACTCCAATACCATTGTCAAAAATCTTTTGATGTGTTGACCAGCTTAAAGTAAGATTTATTTTTGAGAAACCACTCTTTCAGATGCTCCCTTGGCTGTTAATTGAGATAAATGACCCCAGTGAAGGCAGCCATTGTTAAATAATATAACCTCAGTAAAAGCAACCTAGATTATTATATAATGGCTATTAAAATGTGCATTATATACAAGCGGGAAAATTGTGCTCATCAGAACACACCCACTCTAAGCAATGTAGTCTTTAATTGGAAAGAGTTAGAAATATAAATGTTTTAATTAATTTGTTGAAGCTTATGTTACCAATGTGACAATTTAAACTGTAGACCTGTTTATAGATTGATGTCCCTTGTTATTTTCTAATTTTTAGAATCTACTCCACCATCTAGTCCGCCTCCTCCAGTGGTGGATAGATCTTCGCCAAGGCCAAGGTTAGATACTCCCGAGGTTTTTCTTGTTTTACTGTTTTGTTAAAATATCACATTGTTTGGATTTAATGTGTGAAATGTTAACACTCCTGCTGAACTTAGATTGAATTTTGTTATTCACAATTACCTTAATTTTGATGTGTAATTATAAAGTAACTGCCAACATTCATCCTGATCACTATGTGAAGAATAACAGGGAAATCCAGAGACTTGCTTCTCGATCAGGCGCACTGCAGAGTTCCCAAAGACTGATGTCTCACTTGCGATCATGAATTGACAAAAATGTTCGCTCTAATTCTGCTATCATATTGTAAAAATTGTGGAAAAGCTTACTTTTTTGAAAGGCTATGCTTGGTTTTGAACAATGTGCTGATTTCATAATTACTACTAAACACCCTTATTGGCCCTGAAAAGCTTGTCCTGTGTTTGTGAAATTCCAGATGTCTCCACATTGATTGCAAGTTGCATATATCTTTTAATGCACAATTATTTTGCCTTTTTAAAAAAAAGTATGTTTGTCTTAGCTTCTATCTTACTTACAGTTCTGTGTTTATTTTACATTCTGAAATTTTAAATTATAAGTGCAGTACTTTGAATTACTGGTTTCTATGTGTGAATATTTCAATTTGATGAAATTTTCAACTTGCTGACATTTTTCTCGGGATGTGAGTGTTGCTGGAAAGATCAGATTTATTGCCTGTTAGCAGGTAATGGTGAGCCACTTGCTCGGCCATTTCAGAGGGCAGTTAGGATCCAATCAAATTGGCCGAGTAACATCAGAGATAGTAAGAACTGCCGATGCTGGAGTCAGAGATAACCCCCCGTTTCCGAGGAAGGGTCCTGACCCGGAACGTCAGCTTTCCTGCTCCTCTGATGCTGCCTGGCCTGCTGTGTTCCTCCAGCTCCACACTGGCCTAGTAACATAGCCACTCTGCTACCATCTCTCATGTTGCCTGCCCCCGAGGCCAGATTCCTGTCAGATTTGCAGGCAACTTTCTTTTGTAGACCGTTCATTTTGAGCTGAGCACAAAATTTGGATAATGTCTATATTTCCTTGGGATTTACCTCCAAATTGGCATTTTTAATTTCTTGACAGTCCAAGGAGGGCTTTAGTTGTAAAGAACTGAAGGTTAGATAGTTTTCTTCATAAGTTCCTTGCACAAACTACATTTTACGGTGCAGGCAAATTTACAAAAGTAAGGGAAATCATTTTAATTTTCTATTAAATTCCACAACAGTAGTAAAAAGAATGAATAATGCTTTGCTCCATTAAATTTATTCCATTACATCATTTTTTTCCCAATTTGAATTTCAGCGTGCAGTCTCCAAAGGTATCACCTGGTCTTCATGCTCTTCCTGAATTACCAGAGACAGGTAAGGAAAGCACCACATCATTATTCCTGTAAAATTTAAAGTTTATTCTTGTACCAGGCCCAAACATTGAGCAAGATTGCCACTATTATATTCCGCAACTTGAAAATTTTCTGTATTTTACAGTACTCACATTTATTGAGTTTCACTTCTTCCTTTATACTTTCAAAGTAGTAGAATAGCTAATTAGGGTAGCAAATGTGGTTCTTTTGTTCAGGAAGGGCAGCAGGGATAGACCACATAATTACAGACCAGTTAGTCTGACATCAGTGTTAGGGAAATTATTGAAAAAATTTCTGAAATACAGGATTAATCATGACTTGGAAACGTAGGGATTGATCAGGGATAGTCAACATGGATTTGTTCGAGGGAGACCCTACCTGACCAACTAAATTGAGTTGTTTTTAAAAAGGTGACTAAATATATTGATGAAGGTAGTGTAGTTGGTGTGGTTTACATGGAGACAATAAGGACTGCAAATGCTGGAAGCCAGAACCTATAGGTGTGAGGCTGGAAAAGCACAGCAGGGCAGACAGCATCCGAGGTGCAGGTAATTCAACGTTTCGGCCTGCTGCTCGGATGCTGTCTGACCTGCTGTGATTTACATGGACTTCAGTAGGCCTTTGGCAAGGTCCTAAATGGAAGGCTAGTCCAAAAGGTAAAAACCCCTGGGATCCAAGGCAAGTCGGCAAACTGGATCCGAAATTGGATTACAAATAGGGGGATAAGGTGTATGATGGAGGGTTGTTTTTGTGATTGGAAGCCTGTGACCGGCGATGTACCGCAGGGATTGGTGCTGAGACCCTTGCTGTTTGATATGTACATTAACGACTTGGATGTGAATCTAGGTTTAATTGGTAAGTTTGCAGATGACACAATAACTAGGATGTTTTTGATAGTGAGGAGGATGGTCTCAAGCTACGATCTAATATTGATCAGCTGGTAAATTGGGACAACCAATGGCAGATGGAATTTAATCCTGATAGGTGTAGGGTGATGCATTTTGAGAGATCTAATAAGGGAAGGAAATACACAATGAATGGTAGATCACTCGGGTGTACTGAGGAACAAGGTAGACAGGGTGGTGAAGAGGTGTATAGGATGCTTGCCTTCATCAGCCGGGATGTAGAATATAGTAGCAAAGAAGCTTTGATTCAACTTTATAAAACATTGGTTAGGCCACAGATGGAATACCATGTGTAATTCCTGTTGGCACGCTATCGGAAGGATGTGATAGCACTGAGAGGGTGCAGAGGAGATTCACCAGGATGTTTCCTGGGATGAAAGGACTCAGTTATGAGGAGAGACTGGATTTCCTGGGAGCAGAGGAGGCTAAGGAGGAATCACATTGAGGTGTACAAAATTATGAGAGGTGTAGATAGTATAGATTGTGAGAATTTCGTCCTCATGAAAGACATGTCTAAGACCAGGCAGTTTAAGTTTAAGGTGAGGAGCAAGTGGTTTAGAGCAGTTATGAGAAAAAAAAATTTTCAACCAAAAGTTGGTAGAAATATGAAACATGTTGCCTGAGAGGGTGTTTAAGGCAGGTATCTCGCAACATTTAAGATGCAATCTGGATGAGTACTTAAAATAACGGGGCATAGTCAGCCATGGACCAAGCGCAGGTAAAAGGGATTAAGTGTAGAGATAACAAGGTGTAGAGCTGGATGAACACAGCAGGCCAAGCTGCATCAGAGGAGCAGGAAAGCTTCTTACTGAAAAAGGGTCTAGGCCCGAAACGTCAGCTTTCCTGCTCCTCTGATGCAGTTGGTCTGCTGTGTTCATCCAGCTCTACGCCTTGTTATATCAGATTCTCCAGCATCTGCAGTTCCTACTATCCCAGGGATTAAGTGTAGTTTGGTGTTTGTAGGTCAGTATAGATATGGTGGAGTGAAGGGCCTGTTTCTATGTTGTATAACTATTTTTGCTCATTTTGCTTGTAACAGAAAATTATCATTGATGAATGACCTAATTCAAGAACAGCTTCTTCCCCGCTTTTGTCAAACTTATGAATGGACCTCTCATACATTAGAGTTGACCTTTCTCTGCACCTTGTCTGTAGCTGTAACACTATATTCTGCATGCTGTTCTACTAACCTGATGTACTTAAGTAAGGTATGATCTGTCTGGTTAGCATACAATACAATATTTTTCACAGTGTCTTAGTACATGTGACAAAAAAATAAATCAAATCAAATAATTCTGCTCCTATATCTTATGGTCTTAAGCCCAGAGAACAGAATAAAAATGCATTTGAGAACAAAGAGGAATACATAAGTTTGAGAGGAGAGGTGGAAAAGAAAATAAGAGAACCATAGAGGAATGATGAAAATAGACTGGCAGCAAACATAAAAGTGTGTCCCAAAATTTTCTATCAGCATATAAATAGTAAGAGAGCGGCAAGCGGAGGAGTAGGGCCAATCAGAGACCCAGAAAGGGCATTTGTATATAGAGGCTGCAGGCATGGCTGAGGTGTTAAATGAATACTTTGCATCTGTCTTTACCAAAGTTGGAGATGCTACCCAGGCCAAAAGGTGGAACCAGAAAGATTTAAAATTGATAAGAAAGAAGTGTTGGATAGGCTGTTGGTACCTAAAGTTGACAAGGCACTGGAACTGGATGAGATGCGTCCAAGGATTTTGAAGGAAGTGAGAGTTGAGATTGCAGGGACGCTGATTATAATCTTCCAGGCTTCCCTAGACTTGGGGAACATACCAGAAGACTGAAAAATCGCAAACATTACAGCCTTTTTTGAGAAAGGTTGTAAGAATAAGCCCAACAAGTACAGAGCAGTCAGTTTAACTTAAGTTGTGGGAAAGCTTCCAGAAACAATTATTTGGGGTAGAATTATTAGTCACATGGAAAAAAGTGGGTTGATTAGTAAGAGCCAGCATAGATTTCTAAAAAGGAAATTAAGTTTAACTAACTTGCTGGAATTTTTTGAAGAGGTAAAAGAAAGGCTAGATGAAGCTAATGCTGTGTACATGGTCTTGCAGATGGCATTTGATCCAGTGCCACACAACAGACTTCTGAGGAAAATTATTGGCCATGGACAAAAATTGACAGTAGCAACGTGAATACAAAATAGGCTGAGTAATAGGAAACATTTAGTAATGAACAAAGGATCATTTTTTCAGGCTGGAGTAAGGTTTGTGATGGAGTTTCCCAGGATCAGCGTTGGGTGGGTGTCTTGCTTTTCCTGATATATTTTTATGATTTAGATCTTGATGTACAGGGACAAGTTCACAGCTTGCACATGACATGAAACTTTGAAAGAATTATAAACTGTGAGGAAGACAACGTAGAACTTGTAAAGAATATATCAGGTTGGTGGAGTGGGCAGATAGCTGGCAGATGAGGTTCATGCAATAAGTGTGAGGTGATGCATTTTGGTAGGAAGAACTTTGAAAGACAATACAAAATAGGGGTTACAATTCTAATGGGGCTGCAGGAACAAAGGCACCTGGGTGAGTATGTGTACTAGTTACTGAAGGCAGCAGAACAGGTTGGGAAAAATTAATAAAGCATTCAGTATTCTTGGCTCTATTAATAGGGGTATAGGGTACATGAGCAGGGAAGTGATCTTGAACTTGTATAAGACACTTGCTAGACCTCAACTGGAGTGTTGAATACATTTCTGAGCACCACTTATCGGAAGGATGTGAAAACATTGGAGAGGATGCAGAACAGGATTCCAGGGATGAGAAATTTCAGTTAATGATGATAGATTGAAGAAATTGGGACTGTTCTCCTTGGAAAATAGAAGGCTAAGACAAGATCTCATAGAAGTTTTCAAAATCATGAGGGGACTGGATAGAGTAGATAGGAAGAAACTATATCCACTCATAAAAGGATCAAGAACCATGAGCACAGATTTAAAGAGACTTGTAAAAGAAGAAAATGTGAATTAAGAAAAACATTTTCAAATTGTCAGTGGTTAGGGTTTGGACTGCACTGCCTGGAAATGTGTGGAGGCATATTGAGGCATTCAGTGAGTATTAGATGATTATTTGGATAGAAATAATGTTCAAAATTTCAGAGATTGGCATGAGATAATGACGCTCATTTGAAGAGCCAGTGCAAATATGACGGGCTGAATGACTTTCTTCTGCACCTTGACATTTCTGTGATTCCGCGAACTTTTTATCCCTTCTAAGAATGCTCAGCAGCTCTCAGACAACACTGCTGATTTGAACTTTCCACTCTGTTCTGTTATTGGGGCATTGGCATTCAAACTGTCCTTGCTATGCTGCCAAAATGCATACTTTCCAAAGGGATTGTCCAAAAATATGGACAATCCTCAGCTGTCGAAAGGGTTAATGCTAAAGACTGCATTAAATTCCACCCAATCTGATGATGCCATGAGGACTTGGATGAGGAAAGGCAGAACATCTGAAAATCTTACAGGGAACAGACTGTTATGCTAGGTCTTGCTATAGTCTTAGTAAAAACATCTTATTAATTTATCTTATATCTGAGTGCAGTTGTGCAATAAACTGCATCCTGTTTAAAACAAGAGCCTTTTTTCATTAGACTACCTAGTGGGTTTCCTCTACCACTTTAGACCAACAAGTCCTGTAGACCAAGTCAGATATGAGGACGGTGACAACAATCTACACAGCCACATGTTGGGAGTTAGTGCTCATATGAAAATCAGCAACTTCCCCTTCAACCAGTGGGACTACCAATCGTTTAATGCTGAAGCGCTTCTCTGTGGCCATTCAGCAAGTCTAATAGCTGTTCTTTAATTGATTGAAGCATCGAGCGTTGTGGTAGGCATGTCCAACTTATTCCATGGGGGTTATGATGTGAAACTAGCTCCCATGATTAAAAATTTATCTCAATCTAACCCAGTACAGAGCAACTGAACCTAGTTTGTAAGGCTAAGAATGACATTGGGTGGTCCGATTAAACTTTGGACTTTTCAACAGCCTAAAGAAAGAATTATGAATACAGATGTTTTTTCGAATGTGGTCAGGTTACAAAGCACTTTGTATTTGGTTCCTTGATATGTTCTTGTCATCACCTTTTGGACTGCAAATACAGACTTCAGTCAAAAATCTGTTGCTTCTGTTAAAAAGTTGAAAGTATTGTGCAACTGATTTCCTTATTAGATTGTGAACTGTTTGAATGTATTATTTTCTAGTAGATCAGAAGAAACCTGAACAAATCTACGCCATACCCAGAAAATCCCAAAATGTTGCAGAGGTCAGCCAGAAATCACCATGGCCCACTACTTCACCTGTGAGGTCTTCCTTTGCTGAACCAAACAATGATGTCTATGCTGTGCCTGGAAATCCAATACCACTTCCCCGGAAAATGAATATGGTAAGAAATGAACACATTTTTACAGTTGGGAATGCATGTTTAGTAATGTGGAAGAGTACTAGCTTGTTAATGTAAAGAAGCTTTGTAGTTTAATAAAGCATATTACTGAAATGATTATCAAAAAGGATGAAATGTATAAAATAGTTTAATAGGAATTGGTGAAAATATTAAGTCTTCTGTTGAGCATGCATTAAAATGATCAGACCATTGCTAGAACAGGCCATTATAGTCCTCGTCAACAGTCAGCAGTAATTTACTGACATAGTTTCAATACGTTTCTCAAAACCACAACTTCTGGCTCATTACTCTATGACCTAGAGGGTTATTTTGGTAGCACAATCAAATCAGGCGCTAAGTGGATGTTGTGCTAATAAGACTTGTCTATTTGAAAGTCTGTATTTAACATGCAATTTTAGGCCTAAATACTAATTTACCATACTTTCAACTTGCCTGAAGTTGCTAAAACAGGCACGTGTAGAGTTAGCACTGAAGCAATGATTGGAAGCGATTCTTGTGGAGTAATGTATGTGGGTTCCATGCAGCCACTTGCACTGAGTATGTGGAGTACACAGACTGATACACACTCACAGGTTTTAGGATAGCTAAGGAATGTGGGAGAGGGAAACAGGCCCATTGTAATAGGACACTAGATCCTGGTAGAGGAGGACCAGAGAAAGAGACTTACTCTAAGTGGAAGGAGTCCTCTTTTTTCTATCTCTCTCACATCCTGCAAGTAATGCTGCTCATCATATCCTTCTCCATCTCTTCCAATATCCTGCAGATCTCTAGCAAGATGCCTATGTCCAGGCACTCCCTTTCTCCTAATGACTCATAAAAGATTTTTAAAACTACTGGAAATACCTAACAGGTCAGGCAGATCTGTGGTGAGAAACTGAGTTAACATTTCAGGTTGAGATGATCGCTCCTCAGAATAAGGTGGAGAAGCACAGCTCTCACTCTTCTCGGGTGAAGTCCTCAGAATTTCCAGAATAAACACTGTTCAATGGTTGATAATTTTGAAAAAGGCCAGTGAGTGAATGGGTCTTTAAGTAGCTCATGAATTACTCAGTAACAACTCATTCAGTCTTATGTAGGCAGTCAATGTTGGGACAGCTTTTGACCCTGTCCACCAAAAAGGCATGTAACTTTTTAATGTGTTCTAGCAGCCAATTTAACTGGCAATCAGTGGCATGAAAATCTTCTCAGTGGCTTAGATAATGTCTTATGCTAAAGATAGGCTAAACTAGTATTTAGCTCAAGGTTCCTGATTTTGGCTGTCTTGCAGGCTGTTCAGTCCCTAATGGACCCAGAGAAAATTTCCCAGTAAATGTATTATCAACAGCACACCTGCTGTTCATAAAGAATGACATTTCTATGGTATCTGTTGTCCCTTATGCAAAGCTCAGTAGAAGTTGTCACCTACAAAGATTTCCAAACTCCTTTTATCCTCTGCCTGCTTTTCTTGTCCTGGGCAGTCTGTAGTGCCCATCGGACTTGGTCTCCTTGATGGGAAGATCAAAGCCATTCGCCATCCTGTTACCCAATGTTGACCCATAGTAAATGAGGTTTTGCTAAATCTCCCGAAGGAACCTCCAAGAATTGTACCTGACCAGAATAAGGGAGGGAAAGAACAACCAGGGAAGTAGAATTGAAGTTTGAGCCTGACTGCTGTTGTAAAACAATCATCATTGGGTGTGTTTACCGGGCTAGGAACACAGGGTGTGATCTGGTCAGGAAAGGGGAGACCAGTTAACGAGGTACAGAGCAGCTTGAACTCCATGTTCCTTTTATTTGTTGATTTTAATGGAACAAGATTCAGGCAGACTTTGTAGAAGGCTCTCTGCTTGACTAGAAAAGTTTAAACTATTCCCAAAACCTTTATCTAGAGTTGTGATTCTGGGCAGAGTTTTCAGATCCTGATGTGGAAAGGATCTGAGTCCAAAAATATCAGCACCAGTCAGTGTACAGACACCATTTTCCAGAAACATTCCTAATGCTGGCTGTTAAGTGCAACGGGCTCAGGGTCTGGAAAGTCTCATCAAGAACCTGTCAATGATAGTTAAAGGAGATCAACAGTGATTTTCCAATCAATATCCAGTTTCCTAGCACAACAAGAGGTAGTTCATTTCCTGGAGATAGGCACCCAATGGCAAACTAGTGTATGTGCTGCCTGAGCGTGGTTGAAGCCAAAAACCATCATTTAGATGGAGTGCTGCTCCAACACCAAATCCCACCTCCTGAGCCTGGAGGCCTCTGATTGTCCCTCTCTCTTCAAGAGCCCACGACAGGAAAACTGATCATATGTCAATTAAGGGAATGACCCAGTCAAAATTCCAGTGAGTAGCCCACAATGGCAGATTCTGGATTCAAAAGCAAAGTGAAAATCTAGCCCTCTGATTTGAATTTGAGTCTTGAAACCTGAATATTGGCGGTGTAGCTAATTTTCCAGAATAAGTAATGTTCGGTCAACTCCAATGATGGAGTTTATCCTAATTTCCCGCAGTCTCCACTTAAAAGAATTTTTTGTCAAAATTCTCTCTAAGAAAACTAAAAGGCAAGTATCAATATTTTCTCATAATGGTTTTCTTTAAAGAGGTGCTGTGTGTGGGGATAATGTGTGCGCTTAAACAGAGACAGTTTGATACATACCTGGGAAAGGCATGGAAAACTGTCAGCACCTACAGAAATATAAATATCAGTAAGAGATAAGGGGGAAAAGAATAGCATTTTAAACAACCATTCTGACAGACAGAGCCCAGATTTAGATTGTTTACAGATGAAAACAGTGAAAAATGCAAACTTTTACATTTTAAGCTAACAGGCCAAAATAACACAACTGTTAACACAAAAAAAATGCAGGTCCTAAAGAAAATTTCTCTCCAGCCAAGATCTATTCTGAACAGCTGAGATGGTCATATCAAGTCTTGACAGCTGTTTGCAGTGGCAGAGCCTGGGATGTCATCAACTCCAGTTAAATTTCCAGAACCGCAATTAACATGATAAAAGGATCACATCCTCAAATTCCTGTGAGAAAGCCAAATGTGGCTGTAAGAGATTCAGAATTTTGGCACATTGTCAGGATAAACTATTTGATTCACAGATTCATACCTCATGCAATGTATCCCAAATTAGAAAACTACCTCCAGGGTCAAAGCTGTGAGTGGTTTGAAATACTTTATGCAAAAGAGAAAAGTTATTGGCCGTCATGCATTTTAATTGTCTTTGTATAACATTCACAGCATAAAATTGTTCATGTTAACTATGTTAGGATCAGGCAGCAAATATGAAATCTAAATTAATCTTTTTCAAGGTAGTTGTTTGCTTCAGGATTTGCCTTTCAAGCTGTTGATTCCAGTAGCATCTCATGGACATAGCTGCAGAATGCCAATGGTGTGAGGGGTCAGAGTCACTGTCATCTTTGATTCTGTCATTGTCACATTGTTCATACAATGGCAATTCACACTGGCTAAGTAAATGGAAAGATTTATTTATTTTCATTGTCTAGCCCAGAGAAATTAAGTCCAGTTGCACACCCCTCACATAAAAGCAAACTACTGAGGATACTGGAAATCTGAAATGAAAACAAGGAAGAAGTCTGACAGCATCTATAGAGACAGAAACAGATTTAAAGTTTCAAATCTAATATGATTCTTCTTCAGACCTGAAAGAGGCTGGAAAATTGTGTTTTTTGTGCCATTACCAGAGGGGGAGAGGAGAAGCAAATGGAACAGATTGTTCGGGTACCTGGAGCAAAAGACAAAAGCAGCATTAATGGTGGTAAAGGAGAAATAGAAATGTAAAATGAGTGTGAAAAGAAGAAAATAGCTCCACTCTGCTAAGAGAAAAATCAATAAGGCACAGACAAGACACAGCTGGGGTGGGAAGAGGAGCAGTAGGAAAAATGGAGTACAGAGGTCATGCTCCGAATATTGAACTCTAGAGGCTGTAAAGTGCGTAAATCAATATGAAGTGCTGTTTCGTGAGCTTGCATTAACCTTTATTGAACATTGGTCGAGGATGGAAATTATAGTATGGGAACAAATTTATTAACATGGAAAGCACCTGGGAGATCAGAATTATTCCTCAGACAAAGCAGTTACCTAGTCTGTGTTTGGTCTTGCCAATGTAAAGGAGTCTGCATTGCCAGCTATGAATGCAATAGACTAGATTAAAAGAAGTAAAAACAAAGCACTGCTTCACCCAGAAGAGTGACTGGGGCCTTGGAACAGTGAGGAGGGAAAAGGTAAATGAGCAAGAGTTACATCTACTTGATTGAATGGGAAGGTACTATGATGGGTGTTGGGCTAGGGAGGATGAGGAAGTGTTAGGAGTGATTGGCCATACTAAATTACCCCGTAGTGTCTAGGGATATGTGGGATAGATGGATTAGCCACAGTAAATGTGGGATTGTGTGGATAGGGTGGGGGAGCTGGGTGTGGATGTGATACTGTTCAGAGGGTCAGTGTGGACTTGATAGGCCAAATGGCCTCTTTCCACACTGTTGGGGTCTGTAATTCAATGATTAAGGAGTGATCCTGTGGAATGCTGGTCGTGGAGGGGAGGGGAAAATGTGTTTGGTGGTGGTACCCTGCTGGAGGTGGCCAAAATGGCAGAGGATGATGCTTGGAATTTGGAGACTGCTGCGGTGGAAAGTGAGGACAAGGGTAACCCTATTATTATTCTGAGATGGATGGAAAGGGGTAAGGGCAGAAGTGTGGGAGATGTATCAGACACTGTTGAGATCTCTGTCAACCAGAGTGGAGGGAATGCTCAGTTAAAGAAGAAAGAAGATATTATCAAAGGCGCCCCTGTGGAAGGTGGCATCATCAGAACATGACAGATGAAGAAACTGGGAGAACAGATAGGAATCCTTGCAGGAAGGAGATGTGAGGAGGTGTAGTCGAGCTAACTGTAGGGTATGGTGGGTTTGTAGTATGAATTGGTAGACAGCGTATCCCTAGCAATGGAAACAGTAAAGTCAAGGAAGGGAAGGGAAGAGTTCAGAGATGGACCAGGTGAAGGTGAGAGAAGGATGGAAATTGGGAGCAAAACTAATGAATTTTTTTCAATTCCAAAAGAGAGAATAACACAGCACTGATGACATTATCAAAGTAACTGAGGAAGGGTTATGGGTGGGAGCCTGACTAGAACTGGAACAAAGAATGTTCCACATAGCCTATAAAGAGACAGGCGTAGCTGGAACCTATGCGGGTGCCCATCGCCACACCTTTGATTTGAGAAAGTGAGATATGTTCAAGGAAAAATTGTTCAAAGTTAACCAAGATCAGTAAAATCTGTTTCACAGGAGGCCAGCTTGAATTTTCAGATTTACTGTACTGAAATGAAAATGTACATTTGGTCTGTGGAAATAGAATAGTTATTTTCTATGTAGTACTAAGAGTGAGAAGCTGTGCCATAGTTAAGATGTTCTATAAATGTCTTAGGCCAAGACAATGTTTCTTTTAATTTGAGATTTAGGAAATTTAGGAGATTTAGTTAGAAAATCTTGTAGAACAAACATGAAGATTACTATGTCCAGAAATATATTTCCCCAACCCTGCCCTGACATGGTATTTTAATAGTGGAGGGGACGGGTGTCAGGAAACCTGTCCCTCCTTATGCCAGATGAGGTTGTTAAGTGGTTACTTTACTAGTCGTCTTCTCACCACAACTGGTTTTTTGCCATTGGCAGATGGACATCTCACCAGCTGGGAAAACTGCCCAATAAAGCTGGTGGCTCCCTGCAGGCCTGGGGATTCCCACTGAAAGTATCCTCCCCATTCTCACGATCAGCTCTTCTATGTTTTACAGAATCAACCACTCCCTTTAATGGTTGTGTAGAATGGTTGTCACCAATCCTCCTTTCTACAATGTGTATATAGGCCTGTTTGTTTAATAGTGGCAGAGCATGAACTACTCATGAGTCTCAACAAGAACAGACACTTGTATTAGTGTATTATATAATATTGTGTTATTAGATGTAGTTTATTCTATGATCGCAATAGGTACATTACCCTGGCTATTGGACATGGTTGACACAACTTACCCCATCAGGATTTCAAGGTGGACTCCTAATTCTCCCCAAGACTAAATGAGACCATTAGATTGGGTGGAGCCTTATGCCTTAACTCTTTCAGAACTACTATCTTGTGCAACAAATGCAGCAGCTTCACTATTCAATAAGCTCATAGATAATCAGGTTTTAACCTCAACACTAGATTCCTGCCTACCCTTGATTACTTTTCATCCTTTGTCAAAAATCTATCCACTTCTGCCCTAAAAATATTCAAGAATTCTGTTTCCTCTGCCTTTTCAGGAAATCAGTTCCAAAAGCTCTCAACCTTCTGGGAGAAAAGACTTCTCCTTACCTCTGTCTGAAATGAGTGACCCCTTATTTTTAAAGATTGACATGTGGTTCTAGATTCACTTATCAGAGGTAGCATTCTCTCTACATCCACCTGACAAGTCCCTTCAAGATCTTACATATTTCAATCAAGTCACCTCTTACTCTTCTAACCTTCAGTGAATACAAGCCCAGCCTGTTCAGCCTTTTCTTATAGGACAGCCCTCCCATTCCATGTATTAGTCTAGTAAACCTTACCTGAATGGCCTCCAGTGTATTACATTCTTCCTTAAATAGGGAGAACAATATCAAACACAGTGCTCTAGATGTCGGCTCATCAGTGCTCTGTATAACTGAAAATAATCCCTCTACTTCTGTATTCAATTGCCTTGCAATAAATTGAAACATTATATTTATTTTCCTAATTACCTGTTTGCCCTCACTTTCTGGCCCAAATGAACATTACAGTTATGAGAAGAGAAAGGGATTAAGCAACACAAGGGTCCGTAGGAACAAATGGCAAGCTCAGTTCGCCAGGTACCTGCTGATTTTGATGTTTTGTTTTCTTTACATCTAGCTTGTTTCTCATTTGATAAGCTAATCTGAATATTACTGAGGCATGTTGGGCCATTAATCAAGCAATAATTCCCCTTAACTGGCAGCTCAGTGCTGCCTTTTGAGAAACTCACCAGATTGCTCAGCAAATGCTTACAAGTTGGAAAGAGAAGCACCTGACATCAAGATAGGCATCACCAGACATCTCACCCCTCAATTCTGCCACAAATTTCACCAAAGTTTACATCACTTAGTCATATATAAGACTGCACCCTATGTTTAGATTTTAATCCCTCCTGTCAGTTAAAAACTGTTGATATGGTGAGTAAGTGGGATTTTTTTAAAAATTAAAGTCAACACTTCCACTTTTATCAGCTGGACTTGTGTAAAACAGTCACTCCTGCTATTCTGAATTCAGGATCTGCCTGAAATGCTGCGCATTCCACCTGAAGAAGGAAGACAATTCTCTCAGAGGGTTGAGAGTCTTTGGAACTCCATGCCACAGAGAGCTGTGGGGGCAGAGTCCTTGCGTATAGTAAGGGCTGAGACAGATAGATTCTTGATCAGTCAGGGAAAACGGACGAAAGGAGTGTTGCATCAACTATGATGCCATTGAATGGTGGAACAGGCTTGAGGGCCAATTGGCCTACTCCTGATCGTATTTGTTATGGTCTTATCATTTTAATGCAGTTGGAAGAAAGATAATACAGCTAAAGAAAAGAACTGGTTAATTAAATTCTGGTCCTGCGTAACAATTTATTTTACAGGCAAAACCCAAAATTCGTAGAGGAAGAGCCATTTACAACTGCACAGCAGATCATGCTGATGAGCTTACATTCAAAGAGGGAGAGATGATAGTAGTTACCGGAGAGGAAGATCAGGAGTGGTGGGTATGTATCTATCTAACGGCACATGATTGTACTGCCATATGGAAGCATTCTTCAACCTTGGAGACAGGAAAGACTGCAGGTGGTGGAAGCTAGAGTCAATAAATATGGAGCTGGAAAGCACAGCTGGTCAGACAGCATCTGAGGTGCAGGAAGATCAACATTTCAGGACTGACAAAGGGCTTCGGCCCGAACCATCGACTTTCCTGCTCCTCGGATGCTGTCCAACTGGCTGTGTGCTCATTCTTTAACCTTGACCTGTTTGGTGCTGGTGTTTTTTCTTTGTTGCTCTTATCTTGGAAATGAATAATAACACCTTTCTCAACCTCTTCTTTGTTGTGCAATGCAGAAGTCAGAAATTTAGCTGAAATCCAGATTGAATAGTTTCTTAACATCAGCAATGGTTTAAATCATTTTTGTTTTCGATGCTATTGATGAGACATCTATTGTTTAAACACATTACTGAAGAAGTGCATGATCTCGGACCTGGCATTTGGGATATCCACAGGACTAGTTTGGTGACCCACGTTAAACATTATCGTATAAGTGCTAATGGGTATCAGAGGAGTCGATGATGCATGTGAATGGAAACCCAGTCTTTTGTTTGAACCGAATATCAATGGAACAATCCTGTATAGTCTCAAAATTTGTTTTCTCTTAATTCCCAGGCACAAGTATGACTTGGTAATATAGAACTAAATTTGCTCAAGGTCACTATAGGAGTAGAATTCTTTTGAAAAGTGGAGAGCTGAGCTGGAAAACAGGCTTCAACTTAGCAAAAGAAATGCATGTTCGATACTCCAGTGTACTTCATCTTGCTGTAATTTCTTGGAATCGTACTGCTGTGACTAATGAAGGAAACATGCAGGACATGAATTTAACTTTACTATCATAGATACGTCAGTATGGTTCAGTTCATAGTTACCCTAAATTACAGATTGTGGAGACTTCGATAGTAAAGTACATCACTAAGAAGATTGCAGTGCCAGAAGAATCATGCTTTGTTTTTTACTGAGGCTTTGCCAATTGAGATGAAAATGAGCATTCCCATGCTCATTCAAAAAACAACAGACAATTTTTTTAGTGTTTTGAACAAAGTTCCTCTCAACCAGTGCCACTAAACAAAGATTAAATGTTCATTCCTTTCACTGATGCTTATGAAATGTTTCAAGAGAAGAATTATTACCAAATAACATAGTTTGGGGAATTCTGATAATGTGATTGGGCAATATGGAAATAGTGTAAACATACCAATAAACATATCCATCTTTCTCAAGATATGGTAGACTGCCTCAAAGTATATGTCACTTCTGTATTCACATAATCACAGAATTATTACAGTGCAGAAGGAGCCATTTGGCCCATCATGCTTGCACCAGCTCTATTATCTCGTCTGGGTCTATTATCCAGTGCCAGTCTCCTGCCTTTTTTCCCATATCTCTGCACACATATACTGTTCAACTAACTGTCCAATGCCCTCTTGAATGCCGCAATTGAACTTGCCTCCATCACTTTTCCAGGCAGTGCTTTGCATCTCCCAACTACTCACCATGTGAAAAAGTTTTTTTTCTCACATCACCCTTGCTGCATTTGCACATCACTTTAAATCTGTGAAGATAGTAGGAACTGCCGATGCTGGAGTCTGAGATAACAAGGTGTGGAGCTGGACGAACATAGCACGCCAGGCAGCATCAGAGGAGCAGGAAAGTTGATGTTTCGGGTCTGGACCCTTCTTTAAAACTGTGCCCTTTTGTTTTTGTTTATTTCACAAGTGAAAACAGTTCACCCCATCTATTCAGCCCATTCAAAATTTTGAAAACCTGAGGCAGATCTCCTCTTAGCCTTCTGTCCAGGGAGAATAGTTCTGCTTCTTCAAGCTATCCTCATAGCTAAAGTTTCTCATAACTGGAACCATTTTAGTAAATTGCTTCTGCACTGTTCCCATCTTCTATGATGTGGCTTCCATATGAATGCAATACTCCAACTGAGGTCTAACGAGTGCCTAGTACAAGTTCAACATTACCTCCTTGTTTTCCCACTCTATGCCCCCGTTAATAAAGCCAAGAATACTGTATGCTTTATTTACTGCACTCTCTCCATCTGTTGTATAACATACAATGATCTGTGCATGTATACCCCAGGTCCCTCTGCTCCAGCAAACCCTTTAAAATTATGTTCCCTATTTTGTATTATTTTTCAGAGTTCTTCCTACAAAGTGCATCACCTCACATTTCTCTGCATTGAACCTCATCGGCTTTCTATCTGCCCACTCCGCCAACTTGTCTATGTCCTTTAGGAGTTCCACACTATCTTCCTCACAGCTTACAATTCTTTGAAGTTTAGCATCATCTGCAAATTTGGAAATTGTCCTCGGCACACCAAGATCCATGTCATTAATATAAATCAAGAAAAGCAAGGATCCCAACACTGACCTCCAGGGAAGCTATGAATTTTCCTCCAGCCCAAGAAATATCCACTGACCATTACTCTCTGTTTTCTATCGTTCTACCAATTTTGTATTCACATTGCCACTGTCCCTTTTATACATAACTTACAACTTTTCTGACAAGTCTGTTGTGAAGCACTGTATCAAATGCCTTCTGGAAATCTACGTATACTACTACATGTTTGTTACCCTGAACATCTTTTCTGTCAGCTCCTCAAAAAAACAATTGAACACTCATTGTGTCTGTAGAGGCTGATATGTGAGTAGCAGTCCCTTCTGCAGCTGGCACAGATGAATAGGGTTGGCCCAAGGCTGGCTGATTGATTTTTTTTTTTCATTTTATGTGCTCTCTTTTCCATCATCTGGACCTTTCTTTAGTCCTCCCCTTTTTCCATGCCTATCTTAACAGTTTGTCTCCAGTCAGCAACAATGACTTCTCATTCACCAACTCTGATCCTGAGTCAGTTGAGGTTTTGATTACAGATTTCCTTGTATTGCAGATGCAAGTGACTTGTTCCTCTTGCACCAGTAGAACATAGCATTCGGGATGTATCTATAATTCATTCGGCACACATGGTACAGTCTACCAAACACTGCTGTGCACAAGAGCAAATATTCTGAGGATCCCGACACACTGTTGTGTATTCTTCTTTGATATACTGTCTTGCCAGATGGCCAGTACTGTCTGAGTCAACAGAGGTGGAAACGGCTCAGCCACTTTTCTTGGCTTGCATATGTTTCTGAGAACACAAGTCTGGTGCAACAAACCTTTGCATTTTCGGTTAGTTTGCTGTTGGTTCACATTTGACTTGTCAACTTTGATATGATAGGTGAAAAAAAGAAATTAATCCTAGGACTCCAACGATCAGCCTATTTTCTACAGCAGCTAAAAGAGCCGATCTGTGTTAGCAAGTTCAAAAGCCTTAGAGAGATTTATGAAGGGAAAGTGGAGTGGTCTATGCTGTTCAAGGTATAAAAACCGAAAGAA